GCCCTGCTTAGTAAATTGGTTTGGGAGACACTTTTCAGCTTGGCCTTGGGGCAAGGCCTGAGGTTAGGAGCTGGAGCCGGTGGGACTGAGGAGTCAGAGGGACTGAGGAGTCGGAGGTGATGGAGAGCTGCAGGTGTGGTAGGAAGGTTAGTGTGGGCTGAGGATCCTTTCTGGTTGAGACGGGAAGTCACTCGGGAGTGGGAGGGCACTGCTCCCTTTATGAGCCCTGTGCTTTGAGTCTCCTCTGCTGTCACACTCATGGTGGGAGGTGTCCATGGCAACAACTGTTCAGAAGTGACATTGAGCATTCTTGTTCTGAAAGGCCAGATCCCAACAGAAGCCAAGGGAACTCCAGGTGGGACTAGGAAAGGACCCCAAGGGCAGATCCCAGCCCAGATGAGCCAAGGTTATACGGTGTATCAGTTACAGACCACACAGACCTGGGCTCCTGTTCAATGCTGAACCTCACTGGGTAGCTTGAACAAGTTGTTTTACTTTCTGAACTTCTAAAACTTATTAATGAAGTGGGTCTAGTATGAGTGCCTTTGTATAGGGCTGTGAAGGTGAAAAGGCATAAGATAACATAAGTTGTAGGGATTTTTTTCCCCCCATTTTTTTGAGATGGATTTTCTCTGTGTAACAGCCCTAGCTGTCCCGAACTTGCTTTGTAGATGAGGCTGGCCTCGAACTCACAGAGATCCACCTGCCTCTGCCTCCCGAGTGCTAAGATTAAAGGTGTGTGCCACCAAGCCGGGCTGTCTTAGGGTTTCTATTGCTGTGAAGAGACACCATGACCCCGGCAACTTTTGTTTTTTGAGACAAGGTTTCTCTGTGTAGCTTTGGAGCCTGTCCTGGAACTCACTCTGTAGTCCAGGCTGGCCTTGAACTCACAGAGATCCGCCTGCCTCTGCCTCCCAAGTGCTGGGATTAAAGACGTGTACCACCACTGCCCAGCTCCCGTGGCATCTCTTATATGGAAAACATTTAACTGGGGTGGTTCACTTACAGTTTCAGAAATTCAGGCCATTTTCATCATGGTGGGGAGCATGGAGGTGTGTAGGCAGATGTAGTGCTGTCTACATCTTGGTCAGAAGGCAACAGGAAGTGGACTGAGACACTGGGCAGTATCTTGAGCATAGGAAACCTCAAAGCCCACCCTCATAGTGACACACTTCCTCCAACAAGGCCATACCCACTCCAACAAAGCCACACCTCCTAATAGTGACACTCCATATGAACTTATGGGGGCCAATTACATTCAAACTACCACACCGGCTTACAGGTATTACTTTTTAATAATAACAGACAATAAGGCAGTTTATAAAGGGTAGAACATAGGGACATATTCTAGTTTCCTTTCTGTTGCTGTGATAAAACACTCCGATCAAAAGCAACTTGGGGGATAAAAGGGTTCATTTGGCTTACAATTTGAGGTCACAGTCCATCACTGAGGGAAATCAGGGCAAGATCTTGAAGGTAGAAACTGTGGAAGAATATTGTTTGCTGGCTTGCTCAGGCTCATGCTTAGCTAGCTTTCTTATACAGCCTAGGACCACCAGCCTAGGGAATGGTGCCACCCAGAGGGAGCTGCACCCTCCTATGACAATTAACAATCAAGGCAGTCTCTCACAAGCATTTTTTTAGACCAACCTGATAAAGATAGTCACAGAGCTGAGACACCCTTCTTGGTGACTGTAGGCTGTTGTCAAGTCGATATGTATGGAGCACCCCTGTAGAGACTTTCATGCATCATAAGAGAGGAAGGTTTTTGTCACTGGAGACACCCAAGCATAAGTTAGAGGTCCCCTAGCTGGTTTTGTTATTAAGTTAGGAACTCTCAATCTGGAGCTTAAACATGTGGTCGGTGACTGTGGGCTGAGCAGTCATGACGGCATCCAGATCATTCTAGAACCTGCCTCTCTGCTCTGAACCACATGGAACCACATGGAACCACGAGGCAGGAGGTGTCAACGTTTGAAAGCTTTGCTTTGTGCAGTTGGTTAAACAAGTTGCAGAATAGAAGAGAGGATCTGGGCCACGAGGGCCAAGGCATGAGAAAGGTGGATGGAATCTTCTGCCTACTGGTCTAGGGAATTCTGTTCTGCCAGGCTGCTTTAAGAAGCATGAGGGCTGAGATGGCACAGACCACCCCCCTGGGCAAGCCTCATTGTATGGACCTTGGCCTGGATAGACTGGCGAAGGGATGGTTTCTTTGTACTAGGAACAGCCCCTCTCTAGTAGATGGGACATAGGAAGGAGTATGGAAAGTGGTGGTGGGCTGGTCTGGTCTTTCTCACTAATCCTGTCAAGGCTGCCCAGCTGCAATAGCTTTGGGGCATGTCCTTGCTTGAGGCCAATCAGCCTTAGTTTCTATTGCTGTAAAGAGACACCATGACCACAGAAACTCTTATAGAGGAAAACGTTTAATGGAGTGGCCTACAATCTCAGAGGTTTAGTCCATTATCATCATGGTGGGACATGGAGGCGTGCAGGCAGACATGGTGCTGGAGAGTCCTTACATCTTGACTTGCAGGCGGGCGACAGGAAGTGGTCTAAGACACTAGGCTGTATCTTAAACACAGGAGACCTCAAAGCCCACCCCCACAGTGACGCACTTCCTCCAACAAGACCACACCTCCCATTAGTGCCACTCCCTTTGGGGGCCATTTTCTTTCAAACCACTGCAGTCATTATTTCTTAGCCTTGCTCAGCCTCTGCCTGTGATCCTCAATGCCTCTCTGGTCTATGGCACAGTCCATGCCTCCATACGCTGCCCAAGGTCCCCCTCCACCCGACATGCCCTATCCATCTTGGGTGGCTGTCTTTGACTACCCTACCACTTTCTTCCTCTCGTACATTCAACCCCCTCCATCGAGCTGTGGCGGTCTAGCCCAGGCGGCCCGTCTCAAGGTGCCTGATGGACAGCTGGGGTCACCACAGCTCTCCTCAGACGGCATACAGGCCTTGGAGGGAGGTCGCGTTGTCTAATGGCAGAGTGGAGATGTGCTGCCAACATGGGAGAGAACGGAGCTGGTGCCAGGAAGCCGAGGGGGTTTGAGTCCCTTCCTGCAAGTCTCTCTCCTTGCCAGTATTTCCATGGGGCCAACACAGGCCGCTTCAGGCAGGGGTGTCAGGTTGTGTTTTTAGCTCCTGTAACTAGGTGCCTGGTGCACACCTATCCCTCAGGGCCACACCTGCCCTAGTGCTGGGCAGGGTAGGACATTCCTCGTCCTTGGCTCCTTCCCAGAGCCAGGGGCTGAGCCCCATTTACCTGTTTCCCAGAGCAAGTGGTAGGTGCTGAGTCTTTTGAAGGAATGCTAATGCTGACATCGCATGTGGCATGTATGTGTGTGTGTGTGTGTGTGTGTGTGTGTGTGTGTGTGTGTGTGTTGCAAGCATGTGCGTGCAATCAGAGAACAAGCTTGGGTCCAGTCCTCTTCTTCCACCTTGATTTAAGCAGGATCTCTTGTTCACGGGGCTTATGTCAGGCTGGCTGAGGTTTTCCTGCCTCAACCACCAGTCCCTCACCCAGGTGTGCTGAGACTATGGGGGTAGCCTGTGCTACTGGGTCTAGCTTCTATGTGGGTTCTGAGAATCTGAATGCGGGTTGCCAGGCTTATGTAGCAAGTGTTTTACACTCTGTCTTCCCAGCCGGAGAACCCTGTCCCTGGCATTCTAACAAAAGCACCAAGATTTTCTCAGACCATCACATGACCTGATAAAATGGAGCCTTGGGGAGGCCACGCACCATCACAATGCCACCATTTTTCCCTGGAGCACTTCTCGGCCTCCCGAATGGGTCTGTAACGAGGTGTGAAGGCGACCATCTTGGTCCTGACCATCTTGGTTTTCTGCTTCACTAACAAACAGAAAGGGCCTGATGCTGCAGGGGCAGGTACACTGGAGCCTTGGAAGGACTTCCCTGAGACACAACTCCCAAACAGGCCGAGCTGGGGAGGTGGGCAGAATTGAAGGGTGTGCAGTGGCTACTTTAAGAAGGGGAGTTCTGGTTCAAATGGAGAAGTTCCGTCAGCTTATAAAAATGTGCCTTTGAGCACGGCTTTGTGTTCACAGCTGGGCTCCTGGTGTCTGGGATGCTGAAGGCTTTCAGTAGGTATTTGTCAGAACAAGTGAATGAATTCAACAAATACTTATTTATTAAACATTATCTGCTATATTCTGTGCACCGTGGTAGGTGGGCGAGCCTACTTTATAGAGATGACGTGGGTGCGTGTGTGTCTGTATACATTTGCAGGCACATGTATGTTAACACACATCTCTTTATATGCTTTATTGGCCTCTTTCATTATGGTCTTGCTTGGTGGCTAATAACACATTTTTCTGGGTTTGGCCAAGGTTAGATTTTTGTGTTTTGATTTCCAAAGCCAGCTCTTGATTTTATTTTAGTTTTATTTTTTAGGCAATATTTTGATGTGGACAGAATGTGAGATTGAAAGGGGAGCCTGCTGCCCCCTTGGTTCACCATCCTGGCTAGGTTCCTGTGGTGCCCAAAGCCTCCACCCCCTGCCACCCTCCACCCCCCACCCCCACCCCCGGCTGTACCATGCATGTGTGCTTTAGGTCTGAAACAATAACCTTTTGTCCTGGAGCAGGGTCCACACCTATCCAAGGGCTGATTTCCCTTTTGTTCTGGGGTTTTCCCTCTTGCCTTTAGGGGGAGCAGCATATTGTCAGAATGTTGTGCCTGGCTGTGTGCGTGCGCCCCACTTACCTTGAAAAGTAATAATAGAACTCTTTGTTCATGGGAAGCCTCAAATGACCAGCATAAGCAATGCAGGTCCTGCGGTGCTTAAAATGGGGGCCCTCCCCCTCCCATGATCAGCCTCCCTAACTCCCCTGCGCTTCTCTGTCATAGGATGTCCAGGAGTCCCAGGGCTTCGCAGGCTCTGGAGGAAGAGCCTCCACATGTGTCTGCTTTGTGTCCCAGGTTCTCAACCTCTTCTGTCTCTCACCTTGCCCCTTCCCTCCCTGGCCCGCAGGCTGGCCTCATCCGCACAGACAGCTCCGACTACTTCATCGAGCCTCTGGAGAGAGGGCAGCAGGCCAAGGAGGCCGGCGGAAGGACACACGTGGTATACCGCCGGGAAGCGGTCCAGCAGCAGTGGGCAGAGCCTCATGGGGACCTTCACAATGAAGGTAGGCTATGGCCAGGGGCCCCAGGAGGCACCTCTGTCCCTATCTTTGGGGTCACTTCCGGTTTAAGCTCTTAGTACCTGCCCTCACAGTCTTCTTGTTTGTGAAATGGGCCTGGGCGATGAGGAGCGTCCAAGCTCTAGTGGGTTGAAGGGGCTGCTAGAACTGGCCAAAACCAGGTGCTAGAGAGAGCCACTTCAGTCTTGAACAGGGGTCCTCGGGATCCCAGCATCTCTGAGGATGCTCCGTGTTTCCGATGAAGGCTGTGGCTAAGCTGAAGCAGAAGGTTGAATGACCATTGGTTCTTTCCCCCCTGAAAATCAACCCCACTGTGTGGGAGCCGCAAGAAGATCCTTACAGTCCTTGCTGGTTAGTTCCTGGTGTCTGGAGCAGCGGGGATAGCTTTGTGTCCAATGCGCCTTTTTGAATTCTTGCTCTGTGACTCTAGGCGAGTGCTTTACGGTCTCAGAGCCTCGTTGTCCAAATGAGTGAGGTGAAATCAACCAGTGCCACCTGCGGAGGCTGTTCTGGTGTGTTGGTGAGTGCACACTAAAGTCTGCACAAAGCCGGCAAACGGCAGGCCCTTGAGAAATGGTGGGGTCTCACCGTAGTCAGTGGAGTGGCCGTCCATCGGCAAGCTCGGGTAGGAACCCCTTAAAGCAGGCGCCAGCTGGCTCCCTGGTGAACAGTACTTGGACGCCGTTGTTGAGAGAAGGACATAAGGAATGTGACAGGTGCTGTCCTCTTGGCCCTGTGGGACACTTCACAGTGAGGCTTCGCTTTGTCAAGGAGTTCCTTTGACTGAGGAGCCGTGCAGAGGGCTGGATGAATCTGGTCTTGAGTGGCCACACCCTCATGCCAGGGTCCCATGGGGTGGGGCCTCGTGTGAAGGAATGCCCAGAGACCAGCTATTCCAAGTGCAGTGGCTTCTCTGAGGTTCCAGCTGTTCTCCAAGTGTTATTTGTAAGAACCGCAGGCCTGCAGGTGGGAACAAGGGGCTGGTGGACGCTCTGACCAGTGTGAGTGAGGCTGGGGTGGGCACAGTACCTCCTCTCTAAGGAGAACATTAAGTCATACTTGGGATTTTTTTTTTTTCTTTCCCAATTCTGAACCAAAAGGCCATAGATCTGTCTTTGAAGAGAGGCTTGGGGAAGCCTAGCTCCTCTCCATTAGCCTGACCCCAGCCTCCTTAGTAGCCACACAGATGGCGGCCCCAAGGCCAAGCTTGCAGTTGAGGTATCAGCCCAGGGAACTGTGTCCAGTGTTCTGGACCACAAGCTACTTGGGTGAACCCCCAGTGTGCCAGCCAATGGTCAGGGCCTAGTCACCCAAGGCCTTTTGCCAGTGACCAGGCATGACAGAGCACTTTATTGGACACCTGTGACTCTGAAGCACGTGATAGGAACACTTCTTGTGAGAAGATCCCAGGTGTACCTGTCCCCGTGTGACAGGCAAGCCGAAGGCTTCTCTTAGACCTGCTTTCTGGGTGGCCTGTGCGGAATCAGCTCTGAACCTGGCAGAGGCACCCCCCAGCTTGAGCCACCCCATATCTGCCTGGCACCCCATTCTGTGTGGGGGTCTCTCTCCTAACCCCTCCCAGTCAGCACTGCTTCCCATAGGTCCATCTTCTGCAGAGGGTGGGGTTCCTGAGGGACAGACCCCAAGGTTTCCTCATCTTTGTGTCACTCCTATGGACTCATCTCTCTGTGTATGTTGGGGGTGTCCAGCTGTCCCGGAGGAAGATAGACAGGAGGCCTGAGGGGCTTTATCTCTTCCACTCTCAAGCCATGCGCCCACACTTCTTCATCCAATGCACAGACCCTCACACTTTTTTGCCCACTGACACTTGAGACTTGTGTCCCCAAAGAATTGCTAAGCAATGCTCTCTTCCAGGGCATGGTCAAGCCGCAACTGCCTGCCTTCAGAGTTATGGTGTTGAAAACCACGAGCTGACACTGAGATGTTGGAAAGTAAAAATTTCATAATGGCTGGGTCATATTTTCAGTCTCCCATAGTAAGAGAATGAAAATGGCCCAGGTTAAATGCATAACCTCTTTATACCAAGTGCGCAAGTGATTGAAAGTAGAATTTTGCAGTTTTTTTGTGATCACAGGAAAGATATGTGTTACGGGTTTATGGTCAGACAGTTAACATACCACAAAACATCTTATGATCAGTCATTTCTCAGAACAATGGAAACAATTTACAATGTGTAATTCACAAGTTTATTGATTAGTCACAAGAACTAGTCAAATAAGTTGACCTCTAGCTAGGGACATGACCAGAGTCTAACATTGTTTAACTGAAAAGAAAATGGAGTCAGCTGTCCCTTAACCTTCAGAAGTCTGAACTGCATAGGCCAGGCTGTTAGGGTACACTCCTATGCTCTGGCTGCACCTCAGTGCCCAGCTCCCTGCTCATCCCCTAACGCTGCCCTCATTTTCAGCCCTGGCCTGCCCCGTGCCTACTTCCTTCCTCCCACATACTTCGTGAGAGACAACTGGATGTAAACCAGCATAGACTCGTATGGCAGAGCTCTGGGCCTCGGCCATAGGCATATGTATGTCCATGTGTGTCCGTGTGCGTGCTCTGCTTATGTGTGCATGAGTGGGTACTTGTGGGAGTGTGTGCATGTGACTCTCTTCCTCCAATGTGCTTATATACCAAGGCAGGCTCTTTCACTTGGATCTGGAGCTCAAGGATTTGGGGAGTCTAGCTAGCCTGCTCTGAGAAGAGTCTGACTCTGTCTCCCACATGTTAAGACTACAGGCAGGCAGCCACACACCCTCAGCATTTATCCTGGGGGCCAGGGATCCAACTTTGGGGCCATACATTCCTGTAGAAGCCCTTTCCCGGCTGAGCCATCTCCTCAGCTCTCAAACTCATCATTCTAAAATACAGAATAGTGTGGCTTTACATTGTCTTCACAATGTGTACAACCAAGACCCCAGTTTAATTCCAAAACATTCCTGTCACTCTCTTTAAAATCTCCCGCCCTCCCCACAATGAGGGTGGATTCCTCAGAACAAGGCCTGTTGGATGCCTTCCCTTTAGCGTGAGGCTTCACATTGCAGCTGTCTTAGCACGTCACTCATTTTCATGACGCAGTCGTTTTTTTCTGGCTTATGCCCGCACGCCTGTGTCCGCACACCTTTGGGGCTGCTGTGACGGGGCTGGTCTGAACACGTGCATGCGGTTCTCTGTGAATACAGCTGGCTTTGGGTGTGGTCTGCGAATGGAATCCGTGGGTCCCTCTAGGTTTCAGGGGTTGGAGATTGCGGATGGTTTTTTTTTGGGAAGCTGTACATTTTCCGTTCATTTGGGGCTTCTTGGGTGGGCTCCCTCATAGCTCTCCGCTCTGGTTCGCTGTGCCTGGAGGGTCACGAAGAAGAGGGTATGACTGAGGTCCCTATGACACCCCCGTTGACACAAGACTCCCCTTTTCTCATTGGCTGAGAGGGAAATTTGGGTGGTCCCAGCCTGGGTGTGGTAATAAGGGAGGGGGGAGAGACTCAGGATTATAGTTTGGGCTCCTGCCGTTAATTTGCTGTGTGACCTAGGGTGAGTTAGGTAACCTTTCTGAGCCTCCCTTTAGTAGATGGAGGAAATGGCTCCAGGGTTGTTGAGTATCTGAATGCTGCTCACATGCTGGGGTGACTGTTACTCCCCTCTCTTAAAGAGAGTCCTTACTCCTTACCGCCCCCCCCCCCAGGGTTCCTCCCTCCTTCCAGTGACCTGTCTGAGCTACTGGAATCATCATTGGACTTAGATGCCGGGCTGCTGGGAACCTTCACTGTTTTGGATTTTGGAGCATTTCCAGTTTGGGATTTTTGGATCAGGGCTGCTCAGCTGTCCCAGTGTATGTGAGTTCCAAGGTCTAAAAATGCTGGTCTGAAGTATTTTGGATAAGAAGCCCGCATACTGTATGTTGGCACCACCCCATTTCTGTTACCCAAGCTAAACTATAGACTCAAGTGCAGCCCCCTCCCCATTATCACCCAAATGCCATTTGTCCGTCTCCCCATCTGGCAGCCGCTAGAAGGGTGATTGTGGGGTCTTTATACCTTTAGTTCTGGGCCCACTCTAGTGGGTTTCAGGTAAGTGGATTCTTTTGTGTTTTGAGGAACGGTTTGAGGGGCTGGGGATACAACTTCATGAGAAGAGCGCTTGCCTAGCAGTCAGGAAGCCCTGGGTTCACCAAGCTGCATCTCATGAAATGGTCTGGTGGCACATGCTTCTCATCTCAGGAAGCAGAGGCAGGAGGATCAGAAGTTCAAGGTCATCTTCAGCCCAGACTGGTCTACAGGAGACCCTGTCGGGTGGTGGAGGTGCACGCCTTTAATTCCAGCACTCGGGGCAGAGGCAGACAAATCTCTGAGTTCAAGACCAGCCTGGTCTACAGAGTGAGTTCCAGGATGGCCAGGGCTACAGGTTTCAAGAAACCCTGTCTCGAGAAAAAACCAAAAAGAACAAAAAAAGAAGCATAAGAAAGAAAGACCGATTCCACATGTGTCACAGCCTCCCACTCTTTCTATCTGGTTCCAGCCTTTGGCCTTGGTGACCTTCCCAACGTGCTGAATCTGGTTGGGGACCAGCTGGGTGACACCGAGCGGAAGCGGCGACATGCCAAGCCTGGCAGTTACAGCATTGAGGTACTGCTGGCCGTAGATGACTCGGTGGTTCGCTTCCATGGCAAGGAGCACACGCAGAACTACGTCCTCACGCTCATGAACATTGTGAGTGCCCCCGTGGCCTGGGTGGTGTGGGTTGGTGGGCAGCTCCCAATGCTGATGTCTCGGCCTGGAGCTCCTCAGAGAGGGTGTGGGGGAGTGACTGCTTGTAACTTAGTGCAGGGAAGTGTGAGTACTGCAAGTCTGGCTGGCCACCGCCTGGTGGCTTCTTCTAGCCTAGTAGGTGGCTAGAAGAACACATAAACTAATTCCAGGAAGAGGAAGTGAGGATGTCCATGGGTGTGGACGCACCTACCTCCTCGGAGTATTGACTGCTCAATGACTAGAAATTGGCAGGTCCAGTTAGGACCACATGGCAGGGTGTGGTAGGGTTTGTAGGGGGGACCAGCTGTAACTTGCTGGTCTCTTGTGGGGTGGGGAATCTAAGTGCTACTGTGTCCACTCAAAGCCTGGCCTCTGATGGTGGCCTTAGGCCAGGTGGTATCCGTGACTGGTGACCCAGGTGTGTGGGTGCATGGGTTGGGGGAGTGGGAGAGGATTTCTTCTCTCCCTTCTTATGTCCCATGTCTGAGACAGATTAGCAAGAGGAAGCAGTTTACCAGGTCCTCTGATGTGGGGTAGGGGTGTTATTTTGAGTAACTCAGATGAGTAAGTTACTCAAAAGAGTGACCTAAACTGGAAAGTTTGCTTAGGTCAAACAGGTTCTGTTAAAATTATATTATGCATGTGTGCGTCCGTGCATGTGTGTGTGTGTGTGTGTGTGTGTGTGTGTGTGTGTGTGTGTGTGTGTTTTACAGGGCCTGTGAAGGTCAGAGGACAATCTGGGGGGGGGGGTTGGGGGGTTGGTTTTTCTCCTTCCGCCATGCTGGTCTCAGAGATTGAACTTAGATCTTCGTGCTTGGCAGCAAGGGCCTTGGCCTGCTGAGCCAGCATATCTCAGACCCTCAGATGGCTTCTTAAAGGGAAGAGAGCAGCCGGGCGGTGGTGGCGCACGCCTTTAATCCCAGCACTCGGGAGGCAGAGCCAGGCGGATCTGTGTGAGTTCGAGGCCAGCCTGGGCTACCATGTGAGTTCCAGGAAAGGCGCAAAGCTACACAGAGAAACCCTGTCTCGAAAAACCAAAAAAAAAAAAAAAAAAAAAGGGAAGAGAGCAAATGGAAATGAGGAAGTTTGTGGTTGGTGCTCAGTCAGGCCCCAGGGTTCTGTCTTTATGGTGTGAAGTTTTCCAAGGGGATTTTCTGTGGTCCCATTTCCTGGAAATTGCTGCTGTTTCAGTAAGGGAAGTTCCAGAGGTTTCTTGCTGTATCTGTTCAAATGTTTTCATCTTAAAGTATTCTGACCACTCTGGGGTTCCAAGTGGGTCCCCATAGTCCAAGAGCTGCTCCCAGGACATGCATGTATGTCCTGGAAGGGCCTTTGACCCTCTGCTGGGTCACTGAGTCATTGCTTAGGGTGGTACTCATGTGTGTGGGTTCTGGGATATGAGAGGTGGGCTTAAATGACCAGGGGATGGAAACTGGGAGGCTCAGGGCTGATGGGTGATGGGAGGATGAGAGGATGGGCAGGAACTTGGCACCAGCTGGATTTGGGGCTTCCCTTGAAAACAGGAAAGGGCCATGCATTTCTGTTGTTGTTTTACATTTATTTATCTTCTTTTATGTGTCTGGGCATTTGGCCTGCATGTATGTCTGTGTACCACATGTACGCCTGGTACCCTAGAAGTTCAGAAGAGGACACTGGGTCCCCTGGAACTGGAGTTATGGATGGTTGTGAGCCACCAACTCAATGGGTGCTGGGAACCGAACCTGGGTCCTCTGTAAGAGCAACAAGTATTCTTGACCTATGAGCCATCTCTCTAACCCCTGGTTTTTAATTAATTAATTAATGTGAGATTGGGTTTCCTCTGTGTAACAGTACTAGCTGTCCTGGACCTCCCTCTGTAGACCAGGCTGTCCTGGACCTCGCTCGGTAGACCAGGCTGTCCTGGACCTCCCTCTGTAGACCAGGCTGTCCTGGACCTCGCTCTGTAGACCAGGCTGTCCTGGACCTCACTCTGTAGACCAGGCTGTCCCGGAACTCGCTCGGTAGACCAGGCTGTCCCGGAACTCACTCGGTAGACCAGGCTGTCCTGGAACTCACTCGGTAGACCAGGCTGTCCTGGACCTCCCTCTGTAGACCAGGCTATCCTGGACCTCGCTCTGTAGACCAGGCTGTCCTGGAACTCACTCAGTAGACCAGGCTGTCCCGGAACTCACTCGGTAGACCAGGCTGTCCTGGAACTCGCTCGGTAGACCCAGCTGCATGCCCAACTTAGCCCCCGTTGTTTTGAGAGTCGCTCTTGCTTAACGGCTCAAGCTGGTGTTTCTCTTCTTTCTTTTCCTTTTGGTTGTCCTGGGGGAATTGATCCTAGAGCTTTGTGCAGAGCTCTGACCCCAGCTCCTTGCTTCTTACTTTCCATTTTGAGACAGGCTCTTGCTAAGTTGCCCAGGTTGGCCTTGAACTCACTCCTGAGTGCTGAGATTAGAGCCTGGGCCGTCACACCTCCTCCAAGGTGAGGAAGAGATCTTTGGATGAATCATGAAGAGACCGTTCCTTTCTAAGGCCAGAGCACTTCTGAAACTTGATCAGAGAGGTGTGATCTGGTAAACCCCTTGGAAGGATTCAGAAGGATCCTTCTGGTTCAGAAGGATGTGGTAAACCTCTGAGATTGGGAGCTCCAAGGGAATGCCATTGGCGTGGCGGGGAAGGGATGGGAAGTTCTTTCTCAGACCTGGTGGTTAGGTGTGTGGAGGTCAATGTCCCGATACCCTTCCTTCCCAGGTCCTTCTTCACTTCTCCATATTTTACTGTTGGACAAAGTAGGCCCGTGGCCTGTCCTGGCTCTCTTGGCATGTCCAATAACTATGCTCTGATTTTTGACCCTTGACCCCTAACCTGTGGCTTATACCCTTGGCCAGGAATCATTGTTAACTTCCCCTAGAGACAATGCTCTGAGGGACTTCTTTGGAGACTGCTGTTGCTAATGTTTTCCTGCCTGGCCCACAGTCAGGACAAACTCTCTCACCTGCCAGTCCCACAGCCACTCAGACCCGACCAAGTAAACACAGAGACTTATATTGGTTACAAACTGTATGGCCGTGGCAGGCTTCTTGCTAACTGTTCTTACAGCTTAAATTAATCCATTTCTATAAATCTATACCTTGCCACGTGGCTCGTGGCTTACCGGTACTTTACATCTTCCATGTCCTGATGGCGGCTGGCAGTGTCTCCCTCCCCCAGCTTCCTGTTTTCTCAATTTTCCTCTCTGTTAGTCCCGCCTATACTTCCTGCCTGGCCACTGACCAATCAGTGATTTATTCGTTGACCAATCAGCAACACATTTGACATACAGACCATCCCACAGCAGACTGCTATGTGGGTAGCCTGGGTTTATTCTTTTTTCCTTCCTTCTCGCTCTCTCTTTCCTCCCCCCTTCCTCCTTCCATCCCCCTCCTACCTGTTCTGCTTATCTGTTTTTGAGATGGTGTTTTCCTGTGTATCCTCGACTGTCCTTGAACTTAGTATGTGGTCCAGGCTGGCCTTGAACTTGCCACCTTCTCCCAAGTGCTGGGATTACAGGGATGGGCCGCTATGTCCAACCTGGGTTCAACACCATAGGCTAGGCTGCTTGGTCACTGCTGCCTTGCCATATGGATAGGAAACACAGGGCCAGGGATGGTGCAGCTGAGGCCATGCTTCCCATGGAACCCAGCTTCCAGAGCAGGGATGCTCATGGTACACACACAGGCTACGGCTTAAGGGATGGCTATACATACCTGCCACTGCCATCAGGCAAGCTGGTTGTGTGGGGCTGTGACTTTGCCAAACAGAGGATGGCCAGCCAGACTTCCTGCCCCTGGAGGTGAGCAGATGGGCAGACAGCCTTATCCTCCCGTGGGACCCACAACTCATCCTCTTCATTGTGTGAGGCTTTTATTTGGTTGGGATGCCGGAAGCATGGGCACCCCTGGGGAGACTTCGTGAATCCAGGTACACGGGTGTTGTTTTACTTTTGCGGTGAAACTCTGTCTACCAGAGCAGCCTTGTCTCTGCCAGGGCTGGCCTGGTTGCCAGGATGGAATGCTTTTATAGTGCTCGTCCATGGGGGCCGGGGTGGAGTGGGGGGAGAGTCGGAGCAGATTCAGAGAGTGAAGCAGTCACCACCATCCAAGGAGATCCTGTCCCCAGAGCAATGAAGCCTGAACAGAGGGTGGTGGGCCTCTCATGCCAAGCCTAGCCTTAATTCTGCACTCACGTGGGTTGTTAGAAAGATCCACAGCTACGGCTGATGGGCAGGGCCTGCCTCTTCATTCTTCTGTCCCCTGATCGTAGGCTTTGGATGCCTGATCTTTCTCTGTGCCTTAGTTTCCCCATTTCCCTGGCCCCCGTCCTTAGGGCGTCTTCAGATCTCAGTGCTAGGGAACGCTTTGATCCCTGAGACATAATGAGCCGTTATTTTCAGGATGTAGCGTGCACCTGCTGGGAGCCTGTCAGCAGAGACCGACTCTCATTCTCAAGGCTTCAGTCTGGCTGCACAGCAAAGCCTCAGTGCTCTGGGGATGGTCAGACTCATTGAGGACCGTGCAGAGGGGCTTAGAGGAGACGGAGGCCCAAGAGGCAGGCTCACCTGCCCCACGCAGCAACAGCCTGAGCATTTTTCAGCCGGCTTGTTGGCCCCCTACCTGTAGCCTTAGGAGGCCACATCCATTGGCTTGTTGACCCCCGACCCCTCCTTAGGAGGCCACATCCATTACCTCTAGGACTTGGAGGAGTTAAGCAACCAGCTCAGAATCTATACAGCAACTAAGTGCCAGAGGTGGGCTTCAAACCGAGATCTGTCTGATCCCAAAGTGTGTTTCCTACCCAGCGCTGCTGCCCTTGCAGAACCTGACAGGCAGTTGTGGAGAGGGGAGAAGGAAGATCCTGGGCTCTCAGCCTAATGTGCAGGGAACATGTGCGAGTGGGGACTGGGGGACACACACACACACACACACACACACACACAC